GCCCATGGATGCAGCCCTCATCTAGGGCCTTCCTCTCTTTCACTGCCCCTCCACTTTACTGAGCATGATGTCCTTCTCCAGGGACTGGTCTCTCTTGACAGTATGTCCAAATTATGTAAGATGAAGTCTTGCCTCTAAGGAGCACTCTGGCCTTACTTCTTCCAGGACAGACTGGTTTATCCTAGTGCTCTACTTGCAAAACTCTTATTTTCTGCTTTATAATTTAAATGTTCATGTCATTTTAAAGCAGGTCGAGAAAGCTAAAATTTAGGTAAAATGTTTTTTCCTCCTAATCGGTTGCTCTGATTTTTTTATTTTCGAAGTGTTGGTGATGCAGCTTCATTTCACTCATTTATTTACTTTGATATTTTTGTTTAATACAGGTTTCAATGAATCTGTAGCAATTTTAACTTACTCTAGTATATGTTATATAGATAAACTATATTATATATTTACATTATTTATGCATGTGCATACAACATAGAACATGAAGAAACAGGACACGATGGATCTGAAATAAAAGTGGGAGTTAGCAATAGATGGATTCTGATTCACATTCAAGCTCTTGATAGCTGCATGATTTCTAATAACTTGTTTAACCATTCTGAAGTTCTTCTTTAATATGTTGTTGTTGCCAGGTGTGGTCCAGTCAAAGGAAACACTGTCCCCTCATATGCCAGCCTCACAATTGTTCTTATGTCTGAGTTCATCAACGCAGCCACTGTGTCAATCCATCTTATCAAAGGTCTCCCTCACCACTGCCCATCCATTACCTAGCATGATGCCTTTTCCAGGGATGGTCTCACCTGATAACTTGTCCAAAGTACATGAGACAAAGCCTCGCCATCCTTGTCGCTAAGGAACATTCTGGCTGTGCTTTTTTCTAACACAGATTTGTTGGCAGTTCCAATATTCTTTACCACCACTATAATTCAAGTGCATTGATTTTTCTTCTGTCTTTTTAATTCAACGGCCAACTTTCACACGCATAAGAGGTGACTGAATATTGCATGGCTTTTTCAGGTCAGGCTCACCTCAGTCCTCAGAGTAACATCCTTGCTTTTCAACAAAGGTCCTTTAATATAGGACCAAAATAAAGATATCTTACAGAACTCTTTCTGTACAAGAGATACACATAAAAAGCATATAGCACAGTTGGTGCACGTAGTAAGCATTCAGTTACTGATGAAATAAATGTACAAATGTGCTTGACACAATGGATGGATGGATGGATTGTGCCAAGAGTTGTACGAGCCCCCAATAAAATGATTTAAAAAAAAAAAACAGGAAGTAGTATTACCACCAGTAAGATTAATTCACTACTAAGTGAATTAATAGAAGTATAGGAAATATGAATGGGAGGTTTTACTTATTCTAAGTTAACAAATAAAAGCATGGAATCTGAAATATTTAATGGCTTGTCCAAGGTCCCAGAGCAGCTTCATTTTAGGTAGGCATACCTAAATGTGTTGTGTTCTTTCCCCCGATTCATACCTAAATGTGTTGTGGTCTAAGGCATTCTATAGTCTATAAACCCAGTCCTGTGGACATTTCCATGTTAAGCCTGGAATACTCTGTGTTAGTCCGGGTAGACTAGAGAAACAAATCCATAGACACGCATCTGTATATATGAAAGAGGTTTATATACAAGAGCAATTGAATATTGAGAAAACGCCCCAGCCCAATCCAGATCAAGTCCATAAATCCATTATTAGCCCATATGTCTGATACCAATCTATAAAGTCCTCTTCAGACTCATGAAATGCATGCAATGCAGGAGGATCACAAGCCAGTGGGTTGGAAGTCGTGTAGATCCAGTGGCATTGCAAGCATCTGAGCACTGGCAGGGGTCTCCATGTGGCTTCTCCAGCTCCAGAGGTCTGGTTGCATCAGGGTAGGTCCATGTGGCTTCTCCAGGTTCAGGGCTCTCGCTGCAATCAGCATAGATCCATGTGTCTTATCAGTAAAGAATCTCTCAGGGAGTGAGACTTGTCAGTAGAGAGTCTCCACAGGAGTTAGCAGAGAGCGAGCGAGCCCAGAATTCTCAGGAGAAGGCCATGCCCACACAGAGGCCTCATGGGCTATGACCCGATTGACAGACTACACTCTACCCCTTCACTCTTAATTCTCAAATTGACACCAGATTATCTAACAACCACAGATCTATTTCACACTTCTGATTTTCAGAACCATAAAAAGTTTTAAGTTATGTTATTTTAAGCCACTGACCATGCAGTAAGTGGTGATGGCCTCACATAACTTAACGTTACTGATCAAACAGCTTTCTAGGAGTCCCTGTGGTGTAGTGAGTCACCTGTTGGACTGCTAACTGTGAGGTCAGCAATTTGAAGCCATCTTGCTCTGGGGCAGAAAGATGAGGTTTTCTATGCCCATCAAGATATATAGTCTCTCAGAAACCTCCAAGGGCCATTCTACCCTGTTCTATAGAATCACTCTGAGTCATAATTAATTGATACCATGGCAGTAAGTTTGATTTTTGGAAACATCTTTCTGCCTGGCCTCATCTCCAAGGAATATTGGATCACACATGAGTAGGAGGGTGTCAAGACACAGGACCATGACACAAAGAAGACAATTCGGTTTCCTTTGCTACTAGAACGATTTGTTGCAGACTCAAAGACTATAGGGTGCCAAAGGCTAGAGCTCTGATCTCTATGAATCGCATCCATGTTGTAATCTCTCACCTCACTGCTATCTGTCAAGGCCAACCCACAGGACAGCAGAGAACTGCCCTCGTGAGTTTCCGAGACTCCAACTCTTCACAGGCGTAGAAAGCCTTGTCTTTCTCCCACGGAGCAGCTGGTGGTTTTGAACTGCTGACCTTGTAGTTAGCAGCCCATCTTGAACCACTACACCACCAAGGCTCCTCACATTGTTAATAGACATAGTTAATGGGGCCATCTTTTTCTTCATCTGCTTTTCCAGTCAGTACTTTCTCTCCTCTTATGAAATCCTGAAATTCCCAGTCATATCATGGGAAAAGTCTCCCCCTGGGAAGCTATAACCTCAACACACACACACACACACACACACACACACACACACACACACACACACCTCTTTCAACACAGGATCCAGCTGGAGGAATATCTACATACGCATGTAGGTCCCTAGCAGGAGGGTCAGCATTTAACATTTCATTAAACACCAGGAACCAAGTCTGTCCAAACATGGACAAAATCCTGTCAAACTGGGGCTGAGGAAATCCATCCTGAATTAATGGAATTTATTCAAGCTGTGGGCTTTATAAGCTGCAACTGACAAACCCATCTTCTGACTCATTTGCAGTATGACTTTGAAAGAATATGTACGGACATGTGTTTAAACATTTCCTTCCATGTGTGTTCAGTCTCAGTACAGCTGACAGAGAAGTTACTCCACATTGAAAAGCTCTCAGGCAAACAACTTCTGTGTCAAGTCCTAGATTGACATTGGACTACTTCAACCTGGCTCTTTCAATATTGTCACTCATTCCGCAGAGGGGAAGATCTTTATGTAGCTGGAGGGCTAATTTAACAACTCTGTTGTACTCTTATGCTACACAGGGCATTTGGATATTAACTGCATGGGCTTTCTTTTTTTTTTTTTTTGCCACCACAGAGGAGCTTCCAACAAGTGATGTGAAGAGAAATGGATTACTTCACCACTGACCGACCAATTCCAGATGTGCCTTGATAACGAGATTTATCATAGCCTCTCTCTCTCTCTCTCTCTCTCAGCCGTGGGAGAGTGGCAGCATGGCCTGGCACATGAAGCAGGATGGCCTAGCAGCACCAGGGCCAACCAGAGCGGCTGAGAAAGTGGTTGGAGCAGTCCCCGCACCTCCCCTTGGCTCTCCTGGCGCCCTCTTCCGACCACTCCCGGAACTCCGTTCCCAGCTAGCTCCAGCTAGCTGTCAAAAGAATTCCTATCAACAGTCCAAGGTCCCACAAGAAGTTCTCCTTCACGCAGTGGGGCTGGGGGGGAGGGGGGGGGCACGTTCTGGGCGTGGGAAACCTGGGTTCTGTTTCTTTAGAGCGCCTTCCCGCCCCCCAGTTACTAAAGTGACTGGGATGGTGCCACTTTGATCTTTCAGAACCATGCAAATACAGACAGCCTTTACTATTAACAATTAAATAGATGACTCTCTGACGTCTAAAAGGGGTGTCCAGAGGGAGATAGCTGGGTCGTGGGGGGCTCTGGTCGCACTCTAAGGCAGCCTGATTGGAACCAGGAGCCGCCCCCTACCCCAGGCTGAGGGACCGGCCCTCCATTGCACCAAACTCTCCAGACAGAAGCCCCTGGTGGTTTGGGGGTACGGGGGTGGGGTGGGGGAGTGCTGTGAAGTAGGAATCTCACGCAAAGTTGCCAGGGCAGGCTCTGGAAGGTGCGTCGCCAGAGTGTGACCAGAGGATCTAAGGGCGGGGCACCATAAATATATGCCATTGGCAGGATCTCTCCTTATTGCTCAGGACGAGAGATGAGGGGGGCACCGGGAAGGAAGGCCATCGATCCCCAAAGACATGCTGCTGGTGAGAGCGGCTGAGAGGCATGAGGTGTGACAGGGGAGCCGAGCCCTGGAGGCTGTGGCGGCTGCTGGAGAAGGGGAGGAACTGGGAGAGGTGGCGGCTCAGATGCCTAGGTGGGACTCAATCTTGGCATCTTGGCGGGGAGAGGGGAGGCTGTAGACAGTAGCAGCGCAAGCAACTCCCTGCAGGCCAGCAGTTGAGGTCAGGCCCTCGGCCAAGGCACCTGGGGGCGCTGGAGGCAAGACAGCTAACAGAGGTGGGGGGTGTGTCTAAGGATAGGATGGGCGGGGCAAGGCCACGGGGAGGGGCGGGCATTGGAGGGCAGGGGGAAGGCGGAGCTTGGAAAGGGCCGGGGGCGGAGCTGAGCGAGAAACCTGCGGAAGTGGCAGTGTATCTCTTCTTCTCCCTCTCCTGCAACCCTCTCCCCAAGATGGGGGGCCTCAGAGGTCCGCCTCCAGCCGGCACTGTTCCCTATAACCCTTGACAGATCTTGCCCCAGGCCTGTCTAGCCAGTGGTGACCACAGCTGGGGCGCCAGAAAGAGCTGACCCATGACACTGAGGCCAGCCAGATGCGGGGGCCTGGCGCTGCGGGTGCCAGAGCAGCTGCTTCTGCACCTGCGTGCCATCATTGCCCAAGGCTTCCAGGTGGAGGGAGCGCCACGTGCCATCGCCAGCGTGTGGGACGGGAAAGGGGCACGTGCACAGCGTGTCCACCCACGCGCCACTCCAGGCTCTTGGCGGCCAGCAGGCTCAGGTTGCTCTGGCTCGGCCAGTCGGGGCTCCCTGCCTTGGAGGATGATGGTACGGAGGGCGACAGTAGGAGGCGCGCCACGTCTCTGCTGGCCTCTGACATGGCCTTTGTGGGCAGGGGCTAGAAGGGGCCCCAGGCCCGCAGGGCCGCCAGCAGCCGTGATGCATTGAATCGGTCCCAAAGAATACCCTGCTTGGTAATTAGACGATATTTCTTCAGTTCTCGGGGGCTCAGTGGGTCTTCCCTGGGGAAGTCGTGTCACCTTGATCCCCGGGTACTGTCACTTGATCAGCTGTGAGCAGAAACGCTGCAGCTGCCTGGCCATGTTCTTGCTGCGCTCTAGCGCGCGTCTGTCTCCCCAGCGTCAATCAAGTGCACTGACTCCAGTGCGATCACGCCTCCATTGCACCACCGTGCAGTTGGGGTCCCAGAGAGGGTGGGAAGTTAGTCAAGGGCGCTATAGACGCCCCCAGAGATGCCCAGCACCTCCTCAAACTCCCGTTCAGTGACCACCACGAAGTGCAGGCCCTGCCTCGGCTCCCAGGGGCTCAGTGTCAGCCCCCAACCATGCAGGCTTGGGCCTTGGCTGTGACCTTGGCCCCTGCATCCTGCGGCACCAGCTCGATTTCCAGTTTAGGGACTTCTGGAGCGGCTAGACCACAGACGGCTTCAAGCTTCGTTACCATCTTCAGATGGCAGGATCAAGAGACAGAATTGATGTAATCTCTAACAGGCTTGTATAATCTTGACTAGCAAGGCCCGGCGAACACATACATAACCCGGAAGACTTTATTTTGTGTGCAAATGACCTTCAGATGTTTGGTAAGACTTTTCCAAAGAGTTCAGCTGGCAAGATTGGAAAAAATGGTTGATTTAGGAAAAGTAAGAGGGTCTCTGGGCTTCATAGAAATTCTATTTCCTCATTGTTTCTTGTGTGATGGCCACCAGAAAGAGGTAATGACATGCATAAAGGTGATTATATATGTATGAGAGAGAGCTTGATATCAAAGGACAATTGTATATTGTGGAAACATCCCAGATCAAGTCCATATGTCGGATGTTAACCCATATAGCCAATACTAGTTGATAAATTCCTCTTCAGATTGACGCAGCACATGCAATGATGCCAAATGCAGGAACATCAGAGGCTGGTGGATGAAAAATCTTGTGGATCTAGTGGTGGTGGAAGCATGTCAGTGCTGGTGCAGGTCTCTCTGTGTGTGGCTCCTCAAGAAGAAGGTGAAGCAGAGAGAGTGTGCTCGCACAGGTCTCAGCAAGTCTCCATGTGGCTTCCAAAAGGAAGACAAAGAGAGAGGAAGTTCCCTGAATCCTTATGAGAAGGCCACGCCCACAGTGAGGCATCATCAATACCCTCAAGTAGATTGGTGATGGTGATTCCTTTTGTTTATAAAAATTTCACATGATTTGTAACACAGAGATTAACCAGGTCATGGCATGCATAAAGGTGATTAGAATGACGTTAGGGCAAATTTAACCTGCTTTGTGCAAGACTTTGTGCTGAAGCCTAGTGTGGAGATACTCTCGCTGATGGCCCTGTAAAGTCACAGATCAGACACCAACTGCCCTGACCCCGAGGCTCCATGTGGTTCCTCTTGCTCTTAATCTCTTCTCAGCCCCGTTCCTCGTCACCTTCTTTTAACACTTTGAACACTGTGGGCCCCTTTCATTCTTAGTAAACCCATCTCCTGTGCGTCTTCTGCCCGTGTTAGCTGCCTAGCTCTCGGCGCCAGTCATTCTTCTAGGCCCCGGGGAGCAGCAGGGAATAGTACAAAAGCGCAGCTGCTGTCCTCCATGCGCCGTCCACTGGGCTCCATGGTCCTACGATCTCTCCTTCCCTGACCCCTCCACTCATGCTGCTTCTGGATTTATTGCTTCTGTGCTATTATTCTTCTGTGCCAGTATTGCATGATTCCCCGATGCTATGAGTTTTCCCACCAAGATTTCAAATGCCAGCAGGATTCCTAGTGGTGGACAGTTTTCTGTGGCGATTTCCAACTAAGACAGATGAGGAAGAAAGGCCTGAAAGTGTACTTTCAACAATGAAACTCTTAAAAGTCATTACAGATGATTATCCAAAATATTGCCGGAAGAAGACTCTTTTAGATGGAAGGGCCTTCACAATGGTTGCATTGTGCACTGGATTCGTGCACACCAACAATTGTGAAAATGAGGCAACGTTTGGTTATGTTAAACATAGGGTTGCCAATGCTGCAGTAGCCACTAACAAGAATTTTTTTTCCTCCTAGTCTCCTAATCAATGCTTCAGAGTTTTCCTGAAAAAATTTCTTACCAGAAAATCCAGAGAATCATGGGAAAAGGGTCTCAATGAATATCTACAGGCTCCAGGCACAGTGTCCTTGTAGCCATAGCAACTTCTGAGAAGTTGCTACTGGAAGCGAGCAATCTGTTGCTGCTGTGATGAAGAGTGAAAGGCAGCCCAGCTGGTGCCCCTTTAGTGGGTCAGTAACTGGGATGGGTCCTCCTGCATGGTTGGCTCATAGAGCAAGACTCTCAAAAGTCCAGATCACGATTGTTCATCTATTCTTTTATACATTAGGCTCCAATCACTGTGCATTCTAGAGCAAGCCTCTTACTGTTTTCTTCCTTCTTGTTGTTAGATGCCATGGAGTGTTTCCATAGAGACTAATCATAGCCTAACAGTCACAGAGACTCTATGGCAACAGAATGAAACACTGCCCAATCCTGCACCATCCTCACAATTGTCCCTATCCTTAAATCCATTGTAGCAGCCACTGGGTCACTCCGTCTAGTTGAGGGCCTTCCTGTTTATGATGTCCCATTACCAAGCAGGATGTTCTTCACCAGGGACTGGTCTCTCCTGACAAATGATCCAAGCATGTAAGACAAAAGCTCACCATCCTTGCCTCTAAGGAGCACTCTGGCCATACGTCTTCCAAGACACATTGATTTGTCATTTTGGCAGTCTATGGTACTTTACATATTTTTTCCAGCCTCACCATTCAAACACATCAGTTCTTTTGAAGTTCCTTGAAGTTCCTTGTAGTTCTAGGAAAAGATGATTTCTCCTGAAAAGTTATGTTGCATATAGAACCTCCCCCCACTCCCTGCAAAATAGGAACAAGTCACCGGAATATGAAAAGTCTTCAAAATGTTCATGGAAAAAAATCCTTTCCTCAATAATTTTTTCCATGTACTTTTGGAAACCTTATGAAGATTTAGTGGCCACTCCTTTACTTTCTCTTGTTGGAAAAGATAAATATAAAATGTCATGATTTTATGATGCATTTTTAAAAATACACCTCCAAATTTGTGAAGAAACCTGCACTATTTTCACTCATCCCCATGGCTTTCAATGTCCTATTTTTCTAGAGGAAAAAAATTCTTAAATAATATTAAACTCCTGGACTAATTCACTAGATCACCACCCTGCATCTGAAGGAAATGAATGTATCTCAGGGAAACACTGGAGACTGGAATTTTGAGCACAACAAAAATTATAGCGTTGCTGTCATTTTGTACCTAGGACAGGTGATGGATGATAACATTCTCTCACGAGTTGATAAACTAGAACTAACTGCCTAAAGCATCTTCTTAAGGACTGTAAGCGAAGCATTTCTTTATAGAGAGAGCATTACATTATTGTGTATATATTATGGCAATATGTACTATATCGTATCTATATATACAATATGTGGAAATAGGTGTTTATATGCATACACACACACACATATTTTTATATGAATTTCCACCAGAAACTTCAGAAGAGAATGTGGAACAAAAGATTTCATAACCAATGTCAGGTGGGTTTTGGCAGGAAGCAGAGCATATCAGAAATGTATTTATTTGTGTAGATTGTTTGGACTATGCAAAGGTATTCAGCTGTGTGAATCATAAAAAAAACAAACTGGATTAAATTGCTAAGAATGGGAATCCCGAGCATTTAATTGTGGTTATGTGGAATTCTGACATATAAGAAGGAGCCGCTTGAACAGGACAAGGGGATAGTGCTTTCAATTCAGAAAATGCGTGCAGAAAGATGGTATTCTCTCACTGTACTTACTCTGTCTGTATGCTGAACAAATAATGTGAGAAATTGGACTAGATGCGAAAGAGCACGGCAGCAGGATTGGTGGGAGGTTCCTTAATAATCTGCCATACACCGATGTCACACCCTTGCTTGCCGAAAGCAAAGACTTAAAATGCACGTGAATGAAGATCAAATACTAGTTTTCAATGTGGGCTACACATCAACACGAAGAAAAATAATTTCTCCCAACATCATGATAAATACTGAAAAGGTTGAAGTTGTCAAGGATTTCATCTTGCTTGGAAACAAACTCAGTGATCATGGAGGCAGCGGCGAAGAAATCAAAGGGCACCGTGCATTGGGCAAGCCAGCTGCACAGGAGCTTTTTAAAGTGTTGAAGAGCAAGTATGTCACTTTGAGAACGAAGGTGACCGTGACCCACGCCATGATATTTTCAGTCACCTCATACGTATGTGAAAGCTGGACAATGAACGAGGAAAACCTAAGAAACTCGACATATTGGAATGACGCGGAGGCTGTAGAATAGGGTTCTTCTGGTTGAAGAAATAAATCTGTCTTGGAAGAAGTACAGTCAGCGTACTCCTCATTCGTGATATGGGGAGACACCATCTCTTGTGGTTTGAAACTTATCAGGAGGGATCAGTCCATGGAGAAGGTTATCAGGTCTGATAAATTAGAGGGTTAGCAAAATCTAGGAAGACCTTCGATGGAGTGGATTGACACAGTGACTGCAACAATGGCTCAAACATAGGAAAGGTTGTGATGTTGGCTCAAGACCGGGCAATATTTTCATCTGATGTATGTACATAAAGTCCCTGTGAGTTGGAATGGGCTTGATGGCACCTGTCAACAACAGTATACACAAGGAGGAAATCCCTTGACAAGGTGGATTGACACAGTGGTTCAGACAGAGGAACAATTGTGAGGTGGCACAGGACTGGGCGGGGTGGAGGTGTGTGTTTTGATCTGTTGTACATAGTTGTACATAGTGTTGCTGAATTGGAACCAGCTGTACAACATCTAACAATAACAACAACCTAGATTGGCAAACAGGCCAGCCTGTGATATTGGGTAATCAAACACTGAATGACTAGTCAATTCCTACTCATTTAAGACCCAAGTCCCGATCCTGTGACTTCTTTCCCAGTTGGCCTGTGGAGGGATGATGGCTTCATGAGACTGCCCTTCCCTTTGCCCCTCCCTATTTCAGCAGGTAGGAGGAGGTGTGGGGTGTCTCCTGAGATTTGGGATGTCCTGAGTCATTGAGGATGCCAGGCACCTAGCAGGTGCTCTAGAATGTTTTATTGCACATGAATAACCAAAGAAAGACTGCAACTGGGCAAACTTTCCAAAGGCATCATCTAAAATATCTCTAACTCATTGGCTTACCACAAATGTTTTTGGCATTTAAGGCAGCCTGAGTTTGGATGATGGCATTCCCAATTGGAAAGTTAATTATATAGATCATAACTCATAGCACTGAGGAATTTTAATATCTTTTTTTTTTCAAGAGTGAATTCAATTCTCTACATAGGGCTCGTGATGGTCACTTCTGAGTTGTTAGGTAATAATTTTATGGATGGTACCGTTTGTTGGATTGGTTACAGAGATAACCAGAAGGTTGGAGATCAGAACTTACCGGCCGCTCCAATGGAGTACAGTAAAACGTCTGCTTCTGTCAAGATTACATCCTTGGGAATCCTGTGGAGCAGCTGTGCTTTGTCCTATAGGGTCGCCATGAGTTGGAATTGACTCGATGGGTTTGGTTTTGTGTTTATCTGACACCAACCTGTGTAGAAAACAAAGCCAATCTATTCTACTTCATTTCAACTCGATGCAGTCCTTTCTGTTCTGAAACCAGCTGCACATAAAGTCTTCCTATAACCTCTCCCTCTGAGCTAGGTCAGACCTCTTAGGGTGGCCCATAGTATCAACTTATTTGGCCTACCTCCCCATTTTCAGAAAAACAAAAACCTTGGTGCTCTTTGGCAATGAAAAAATTTTGTATTATAATCCTGGATAAAGTGTAGGTATCTGCTTTTGCTGCACCCTTGGGTTGTTCCAGCACCCCCCAGCAGGCCTTATTGCCCAACTTTTGGAAACACTGAGGTAGGGACCTCTGGTTTATAGATTGCCAACTCTGTTCAAGATACCAGCCACAAGCTCCCTCGCTTCTGACTGCTGGCTGCAAATCCAGTGTTCTCACTACCTTCTCAGGACACCAACTGTAAGTAATCTCAATGATTCCCAGGGACTCCATCACTTGGCACCTGTTTATTCCCACTACTCTCTTGGGGGTTGGGAATCCATTAGAACTGATGGAGAGCAAAATACTTCTGAGGACAGTTTTATGATACCAAGGATGATACATGTCAGGAAGCACATAGGGGTGACCTGGGAGGAGCCCCATGGAAAAGCTTCTGTATCCCAGAAAGAGCCCTGCAACCCTCCCATAAGAAACCCTTGTGGTTTAATGGGTTACTCATTGAGCTGTTCATCATGAGGTCAGCATTTCAAACCCACCAGCTGCTCCCTCGGAAAAAAGATGAGGCTGTTTCCTCCTGTAAAGATTTACAGCCTTGGGAACCCCAGGGGGTAATTCTACTCTGTCCTACAGGGTCACCGTGAGTTAGAATTGACTCAGTGACAGTTGGCTTGGTTTGGTTGGCCCTCCTGTGGGTATCGCTGTCTGTCACCAGCCAGGGAGCTCAGGGGGCTTTCACGTGCAGAGGCTGTATCATCAGAGCGATGTCGGCAAATATTGCTCAGTGGTCGCTTAGCCTACCCAGCTCCCACTTCAGCCCGCATGGCTTAGCATCAACTCTCACATGTGGTCGGTGTCCTCCTCAGTCAGTCCATTACTGGGGACATCCCAAGCTTTTAGAAACCAAGTGCAAAGGCCACATTCCTTGGATAAAGTTAAATTCGTTGCCCCTTAGGGGACAAGGGTGGTAAAGATGTGTGGAGGGAAACACAGCATGCAAACAATAGGAAATACTTCACAAGAGCTAGGTCCAGGGAAGGAGGGCAGAGTAAGGTGTGTATTGCTGGCCGGTTGACAATGCCACCACTGGCTCATCTCCAGGCGGCTCCCCCTCACACAGTCCAGGCCGCCATGGCAGAGAGAGCATGTCTAGGATGAGGGTCTCTTCTTTTTCAGAGTTGATATGAATACAAAGGTCGCCACTGAGGACCGAATACTGAGTCATGACAGGCCGATCTGTGCTTGAGGTCTCTTGATTCACTATGTGTAGCAGTGTTCAAAAACTGTCATGTCAACACTGCTGCCAATTACCCGTTACACAGTGACAGCTGATGACGTACCTTGGTGATGAGACTGTCAAGGATACCTATCAATACCAACAGGATATGCATGTAGGATTGTTGCTCTGACAGCGTATTTGCATCCGGGGCATCTATTAAATAAACAGGCCCCGTGTCCAAGCCTGACAGATTCCCAGAGAACAGGTTTACAGGTCTGATTTCTCTTAGTGCCTCATCCAAGACCATGTACCTAGAACCCTCAAGTGATGCTGCATTACAATAAACTTATCAATGTTTGACCACCACCCGTCTGTCACTTAGTCATACTGGGGTCACTTGTGTATTGCGGTGATTCTGAAAGCGATGTCACTGGCATTTCAAATACTAGCCGGGTCATCCAACGTGAACAGTTTTCAGCAGAGCTTCGAGAACAGACTACGAAGAAGGAATAGACTGTCCACGTCCGAGGACATAGCCCCTGAAATCCCTACGGAAAGCGATAAGAAATCCTCAGCTACTGAAAACCTAATGAACAGAAGCAGAACTTTGTCAGAGATAGCACCACAAGATGAACTCTTCAGGTCGGTCGGCAGGTGGGGACATGGATTGAAACTGGCACCAACAAGGGAGTCAAACAGAAGCCGCAGCACGGTGAGGGATTGGGCAGTGCTTCATTGTTGGACACAGAGTGAGTCACTATGACTCAGAATCAGCCTGACGGCACCTAACGCCACCAAGTTCAATGTCTGGAGTAAGAACGTTCAACAGTCTCCTCCTCCTAGATCTGCCTCTACAGACTGGATGGATTTTCTTCATGACTTCAGATCCTTAACTCACTTTGACACAGCTTTTTAACTGGGAACTTTTAGTTCAAGTACCGGTAGGATTGGCTATGTGGGGCACATGATGTAGGTACCATCAAGTGAATGTAAACATTAGCTGTTCTTGTATTATTCCTCCGAAAGTTATTTTTTGAAAGTAAAAGGAAACCATTTTACCCTATGTGCTCTTGAACCGGATCATCGATTACTTCAAAGAACCAGCATATCCAACCCACGCTTCTGAGGCAGGCACAAGTGCCAGCATCCTGATCTCTTCTGTCACTGCCCATTAAAATGTGCCAATCACTTCCACTAGGTGAAGAAAAAAAGCAGAAACTCCCCAGGGACTTCTTGCTAACAGCCTGTTCCCGGGGAGTCCATTGTCTCATTTAAAAAAAAAAATCTAAGAGAAACACTTGTGGCTGCTGGTGAATATGTTACCCAGGTACTCATTAAACCAAGTAATAGGATCAATGCTTAAATGATTAAGTAGAGGTTACCTAAGCTCTTACAAAAAGAAAATCTAACTGAAATGGTGTCTAAACAATTCAAGACACTAATAATTAACCAAAATAATTGTAATAGGTCTATTAGAGGGCCAGGCAGAAGACTGATCAGGTTATTATTGTGTGTATACTCGGAAGGTGTGCATGGTGAGTGTGCTTGGCTTCTCACTGAAATGTTTGGGGTTTGCGTCTACCCCAGGTCTATTGAATTAGAGCAAGGCCTATTGAGTTAGAGCTTAAATTCTGGGCATTTGGTTTGCAGAAAGCTATGAATGACAGGGGAAGCCCAAAATCCAGTCACTGAATCATCCACTCACATAGATTAAACCTCCATTGAATTCCGTCAGACCACAGACCAGGGGTACGAATAGCCTTGCCCTCGGCTCAGACAGAGCTCAGCGAAAAATGAATGTAGATATAGTTAGGTTAAAAGTCACCACCTTATCATTTGTTTTCCCTTTTGACCCATTTTAAATTTGTTTCAGTTTATTTTTTCTTTCTGTTGGATTGAGGTTTTCATGTTTTATTTTGGTACTGGTGTTTGGGTGGGGGCGGGAGTGAGGGTGGGGAGTAAGTTGGTTGATAGGACTTTCTTTAGGTGAAACCCAGGGTTGATAAATTTATAGCAACAGTCACTATATTAATTAATAATTAATTAGGATTCAGGCAAAAGAGGTGGGTGGGAAATGGGGAGCTAATACTGAGTAAAAGAAAGATGAAGGAACTGTTTTAAAACGGATGCTGGGGATGACTGCACAACTCAGTAGAGTCAAACCATTGAACTGCATGGGAATTCTACATCACGGGAACTGTTAACAAAGACCCAGTCACTGACTCCTGAGAAATCTGACATTGAAAATCCTCTGGCGCACAGCTGTAGTCTGACGCACGTGGGGCCCCAGGTGTCAAAATGAACGTGGCGGCAGCAAGCAGTGGACTGTGCTGATGGGACACTGCTGAGCTTTTAGGGCTCTAAGGAGAGAGAAAGCGTGTTCTGCCTTTGTCAGTGTGAACTGGCATAAAAACTAACTGAATCCATCATTCGATCTATTTATACCAGCCCTTGTCCTGGTCTAAAGGTTGAACACTGGTATTTCTGATGGCTGGTCACTTCTTCTCCCAGTGGATAAGTCAGACTTGGGTGTCTGAGCTCAGGGGGGGCCAGAAAATGCAGATCATGCTGGAAGCGCCTCTAGTCTGTGGGTACTTTGGGACTGGCTCACAGCATTCTGAACTCTTCTTCCCCATGAGCAGCACGTTTGAAAAATGACACGCGGTACCCAACGTTTGATCAAAATATATTTAAAACAAGCAAGGGAAAAAATAGTTTCTTTTGATCTCAAGGATAACTTGCACCATCCTATTAACCAAAGAGAGTTCAGTTATACGTATAACGATTTCAAGTACCAACTTATAAAAGATGTCATAAAACAAAAACAAAACAAAGAACGAGGAGACGCTTTCTTTTTTTTTTTTTCTCAGAAAAATGTATTTGCAATTCAAATGTTCATATAAAAAGCATAAAGTTTAAAACGTTCGTAGATATACAGGTGTACGTGTGTGTGCAGGTGTGTGTGCGTGTGTGTGTGCAGGTGTGTGTGTGTGTGTGTGTGTGTGTGAAGGGGTATGGTTTTGTCATTCATTGCAATTACATTCCAAAATGTGTGAGACGGTCCACATTCAACTTTTGCTAGACGGACGTCACTCTCATCACAACCTCCCCCGAGCTGTCATCTTCGCACAAATCTTCCTGGGGCCTCACCCGATTGAAGAGATGTAATAAGACGTAACCACACTGAAACCGTGGGGAGGTCAGCTGCGTTGGGTGGACCAAGTTTCTATTTCGCAGAGTCGTCAAGGGCAACCATAAAGTCCTACTTGTGGAAGACTCGCCCCGGCTACTTTCTTCGATGTCTGCAGCTTTGTCATAATTTAAGACATCCCAGTGCAAGTTGACCGCTCTCCAGCGCTTAAACACTCTGTACACGGCAGCTCCTTCGTGCACAATGAGACCTGGAGGTCAAGAACAAAAGAAGACCGGTTATCCTCAAAGATTGGGAGTGTTCAAACTAAGCAACAGTCATCTTGTTTTGTCACTTATCATCAAATAAGGTGGCAAATGAGAAGATAGATACCAACCCACATGGCTGAAAAAGAACCAGTCTTCAAGGGATAAGAGCACATGAAAATGGAGAGAAGCCCTTGTGGCTAGCTTCACTTGCTGCCTCCTGCGTCCCTTTTGGGCGGCCGTAGGGTACTGCTGGTGGCTGCCACAAGGAGCTCACGCCTGGGAACAAGTGAGGACGATGCAGGATCGGGCAGTGTTTCTTTCTGTGGTGCAGAGGGTCGAGTTGGGTTGGCACCAACTCGATGGGTATTGTTGGTTGGCACCAACAATAGGGCAATCTTCGGTCAGTGCATTCATTAATAGCTATTTCCTGAGGACCCATTGTGTGGTAGGGGCTGGTGAGCTGGCTACTGAATTTAGGAAAGAAGGGAGTATGAAGGTCACTGCTGTTTCCCCAATTCTGAAAACTATGTAACGAACACGTAGTTGAACGTTTGGTTTTCCCCTTCTCAACAACGTAACGTTATCGAGCAGCTACTTTCATGCCTCCTCACTTAGTTCTCAACAAAGCCTGGTGAATTAAGAGCCAACAGTCCCCATTTTACAGGCCAGGAGACCGCGTTTCAGGGGTCTGGTGTGACGTGTCCACCAGCATTTGCCTTGAAGTGGCGGAGCAGGGATTCAGACCCTGGCAGGCTGGTTCCAGAGTCTGCGCTCTTGCAAAGAGCGCTACACTTGCAAAGTCCAGAAGTGAATTGGATGTTTAGACACTTGTGAAGGCGGGCTCTCAGGAAAACACGAGAACACCGGGACGATAGATAGTAAGCAGCCAGTCTGCAGCCAGCAATGGAGAGCTGGTGTTTCGTATGCCAGCAGAGGAGCTTGAACTTCCAAGAAACTTGAACCTGACTGTCTTTGGGCAGGGTGCACCTTCTCCACAGCCCACCCCAGGTCCCACTGTGCATTGTTCATGTTTACACGTCAGCACGAGGTCTATCAGCTTGGAATCTGTGACCTCTCGTAAAAAAAAGGGGAGTCTTGAGCAAGGACCCTCCAGAGAGAGGAATCCGAAGGACCTGTTCTCCTTAAGGAATATGCCGCTGCGAAACCAGTGGAGAAGCCAACAACAAAGCCTCTCTTATATGGAGGATGGCGAGTGTGTAGCTCATAAGCATGAGCACAATCACTTCCTGACAATTTACCTTAAAATGAGCAGCTCTTACCTCCCATCACTGGATACACGGCCCAGAGCAATGTGCATGCTTATGACCAAGGAAACATGTTCATATATGTTACTGCATAATTGTAGTTGAGAGGGGACGATTGCAAAGCAGATTAATGAATCAATCGCATGCTATGGATTCAATGGGCTACAGAATTGAAGAGAAAAAGTCAGATGCACCAGACACAAAAAGGAAAAAAGGAAAGTTGTGGAAAGAATCAACTGCAGGGCTATCATTTGCAAAGCATGTCGAATGTGACACACAGTTTTACGCATACCCAGGGTAAAAGGTGTTAAGGACACCGATGACAACAGAAAACAGGAAATTCAAGAGCTGAGAGGGAAGGAAAGGATCAGAAGTAGAGATGGGTTCAGAGGCAGCTTTCAATTGTACCCCTTGGGTGGCACTGGAGAGGTTAGGGGGTGGGGATGTGGCTGCTCAACATATTATTCTGTATCCTTCTTCTGAGAAAAATTCATAATTTGAAAAAGTATGGAGAAAGTATTCAGAAAATTGCTCTAAAAAGGCTTGAGCAGCAGACAAGCACAAGTTGGGGGGCGGGGGGGTTAGTTAAGACTGGGACTGAAGAGGAGAAAAGGTCAGGGTCGACTACATGGATGGCCAGAGGGTGTGCCAAGGAGAAGGTGAAAGGCCA